CCATCCTATCCTCAGGAACTTGCCAAATCATTCTTCCAGGCTTTTTTCAACTATTCCAAATTTTAAGCACAATATTGCAGCAACATCCTTCAGCTTCTCATAATATAGCAAAACCTGCTGTTGCTACCGCTCAGAGATCCGATGGGAATACAGCCACTGCCCCTATTCAAAGGAAAACACCCTTCTTGCCATAAAAATGGCATTCTGTATTTTGGATCAAGAAGAGTCAAAGAGTTGTGATGAGAACACTGGAGGACGAGAGCTAGATCCAGCAGAGGACTTCACTGCTTGATTCTTTCCTCTAAAGTGACTTCTGAATCATCAGATCCAGCCCCCACCTCACAGATGTCCATGTAATGGCCAGAAGGATGCACAAAAACCCAAAATATTCAGAACTATAGTATAATGCAGGAAGAGAGCGGGAGAAATCAAAAGCAGTGCCAGATGCTTAGATCTGTCCTAGATCTCTCTTTAGGCATTGCAAACCCATGCTGCTAACCTCCAAAAACCCCACTCAGCTGATCTCTGTAGGACATGTCTCCCAGGACATAGGCCATTGGGGGTTGCTTTCTGACCCAGCCTGTAGGGGTTCAAGCTCTCATCTCCTGCGCGTAGGCAGTTAAGGAGTAGAAGAGGGATTTCCTGGTACATCTCCCTGGCCTCTTCCAGTCTGTGGGGAACATGCATTTATTATCTGGGTCAGAGAGTAGAAGACCATGACTCCCAGTTCATCTTTGGTGGAGGACACTCAGCTGAGAGAGTGACCTTCTGTCAACTTTGTGCTTCTACAAATACTTATCCAGTTTATATTAAGTACTCACTGAAACAGAGACAGGGACCCACAGCATTACCCTCCCATCTTTCTATGGCCCTATTCCTACTCTAGTTAGTGTCTGTACCCAAAAGCACTCCCTTTCTGTCCCTCTGTGTGTCACAGCGGCTTCCTGATCTCTCCACCCGGCACGGCAGTGCAAACGAGCAACAGCAGCATGGACCCGGGGTGGACAGCACAGTCTTCCTTGAGATGATCTGAAAAAAACACTAAGTACCAGAAAGCAGGAACTAGGAGAAAAAATTATCAGTTCAGGCTTTTTTCCACCAGAAATCCAGCCAGGGCAGAAGATAGAGATAATCCCTAATTCCCACTCTTATGTTGCACTTGGTGAATTATTTCAGCAGCAACCAAGGCTAAATGTTTAAGCACGTTGAAATCTTTCATTTGGAGAAATGTCTGTTTTTCCTCAACATCTCTAGACTAACGATGTTGACTCTCTGATTTGAAATTGCATTTTCATTTCTAAATTTACCCGTGTTTTGCGATGAGATGTTGGAAAAAGATCTTTAAAGAAGAAGAAAAAATCAAACCAAACAAAAAATACATAGTGCGTGAATATTTGAAATGTCCTTGTATACAAAATGTATGTACGCATTTTCTTGGCAAGGAGAGGGTGTTACTGGGAATGCATACATATTGCTGACCCTAAAACTAGTAGAAGAAGTAGGGGGCATGTCCTAGCTAATATAAGCAGAAGGGATTTTACTGAATCCCTTGGACCTGGGTGCCTGTGTGTTTCAGGAATCATTTTTATCACTCAAGATTTTCTGCATGGCCCTGTGAAGGTGAATTTCAGGGTCAGCGTTTGAAAAATGCGAATGTCCTTGAGTTAACCAAGGCCAGTTTTTTTTTCCCAAGATGTCACGTAAGCAGGGTCTGATGCTTTGAATTGCGAATGGGACCAAGAAAGGGTGGCCTGACTCTAGTGGCAGCTGATAACCATGCTGTGGCAGCCAGGGCATGAAGTCTTAAGGAATTATTGGCAGCTTTGGCAGCTATATACAAGTAATGACTGAGCAGAACCTTAAGGGAAGATTCTGATCTCACTCACTGCTGTAAATTAGAAATAACCCCAATCACTTTGAAATGTGTTCCTGTATAATTCGTAGGAATGTGGTCTTGACTGAAAAGCCTGGGTTGGACTGTTGCCATGTATGACTCACTTCTTTATTTTGTAACCTGAATTTCCAATATATAAACAGACCTAGAGAGGTGCTGCCCCTGCCTACACCGAATTCTCTAGTGCCTTTTGTCCTTTCAGTTGTTAATGGCGCAGAATGTAGGGCTTCCACCACCTCCTGCCGAGACCTTTCAATGTCTGAGAGCTCTCGTTGTTATGAAGTGTTTCCTGATGTTCAACCTCTATTTCCCTTTGCTCAGCGTCATCCCCTTGCTTGTAGTTAAATACCCTCCGATCAAAACAGTGACATTTAAAGGCAGGCAGGCAAAACCGGCACACAAAGTTAGCTGGAGCGGGTTCAGAGCAGCCTGTGAAGTCTCCTCTGGATCAGACTTCAAACAGGCCAGACAGAGCCCACCCTGGGCAGCCTTTACACGCTCAGTCCCTTCTTGTGCTCTTGCCCTCTGAGAGAGAGTTACAGACCTCAAAGGTTAGTGGATAATATCTAGATATATGTACACACACAACAGTACTATAAAGAGATTATTTCCACAAAGCCCATCATCATTTCTAAGTCCTTGCAAGCCCCAGTTTGGGCAGTGCTGTATTGACAGGCACACAAATGAGGCAGCGGGAGCGAAGGAGCGGTACGTCCCTGCCTTCCTCTCTATGTCTGCTCCTGTGCAGCCTTTGCCGGACGGCCAGCGGAGGAGCGTGTTCACCGCTCTCCTGCCCTCCTTATGGCTCCTGCAAGCCCATGGAGGCATGCTGGCGAGCATGCTGCAGTGCCCAGCTCCCCGCGGCGCTGCTCCTGGGCAGGATTTGCAAGCTTGCCGGTTGCTTGGGCATGGCTGCGGTGCCCACCGCAGCCTTGAGTGCAACTGCACCCTTGCTGAGTGCCCGTTACAGGTGATGTGGAGATGGAAAACAGATCTGCGCTTTGGCACGCCTCAGAATTGCTCTATTTTGTGCCTTTTCATACAGCTCTTGAACCACGTCAAAACAAAATGAAGCAGTGGTCCCTGCAGCATTTCAGGCTCCCTCTCCAGCCCTCGTGGCAGCTGCCGGCAATGCTTTCCTCCCTTTCAGCCCAGGTTTTTCTCAGAGGAGGGAGGCGTTGTGGCACCCATTCCCTGGGAGGGGATCTATGGAGGTCCCTGAGCCAGTGACGGGATGTTTGGTACAGGAGAGAGCCTTGCTCATCAGCCTGGATTAGCTTTAACTTGTTATTTAAACAGATTACTTTGGTTTATGTAGATATCTAGATATTTCTACCAAAGATTCCCATGGGTTGCCACTTTGGCAGGTTTCAAGAGTATTAAATTTACATGAAGAGAAAAATATATATAATTGAGAAATATGATGAACACTGTCTTTTTAAATTTCTTCCCATTCGTGTTATTTACGTGTCCTTTAAATCAAGACTTGGTGCCCTTAATTATGTAATATATAATAGTTGGCCTCAGCCTAATATTACGTTATTGAATCCAAGAATGACATGAAAAATGATGCAGGCAACCAATGTACTGTTTTCAAAGTGAGGACAGCCCAATGAGAAATCCTCCTGGGAAAAAAATCGCATCAGGGACTGAAACAGATCCTTCTTTTTTTTTCTCCCCCCCCCCCAGCCCAGCAACAGAAGGTATCAAAAAATGAGCCTGATGAAAAGGACATTTCTCTCGCTTTCCTTTTTCTGATCTTTCTGTAGCCCAGAGTGCTAATCAGCCTGTCAATCTCTAATTAAAGAACAGCAGTGTCAGGCAGAAGAGAGCCCTGCTTGCTGAATGTTAACTAGTAAAGGGGATTTTGTGCCCAGCGGTGACAGCAAAGAGCCACGTCAGGAGGTGGGCTCGGGTGCAGGGGAGCGGGTCCGATGGGCTGATGAGCATTTCTGAGCCTGGGACAGTGTCTGCTCAGGGATTGCTCGTGGGAAGAAGGAGCGGGGCAGACTGGGAGGTGTAACGTGCTGCAGCTCGCAGTGCCATGCCCTTCCTTGTAATGTTGGTGCTCCCAACAGCGTTTCTTTCATGACACTAGTAAAAACCCTTCCGGTTCCTCGTTATAGAAAGTGATGGTCACCTATAGCATAGCTGAGGAGCTGATGATCGACTTCTTTCTGTAGCAGCAGCAGAAGAGCTGACCCTCTGCTGCAACGGTTGGGATTAGCCCCAGGACTTGATATGTCATTCTAGCGCTGGCAAGCTCGAGGGAGCGTGAGGCACACGTCCAACCTAGATCTGGGTGACCTTCTGCTCCCGTGACTGCACACTAAGGAGTTGGACTCTACCTGTGACTGCATGAAGGAAAGAGGAGTTGGCTTTCTTTTTCCTGCCCTTTGTATGTGGCAGGATGCACAGTGCAAACCCTTGATGCAGGCTGGGGAGGGCTGATGTTCTTTATTATAGGCTTATAGGATAACTCAGGTTGGAAGAGACCTCAGGAGGTCATCTAGTCTTCTCTTGGCCATTTTGCTGCTGTGCTCTGCTGAAGTCAGTAGGACATCTGCCAGTCCCGAATAAAAAAAAGTTCAGCCTCTTCCTTTTTTAGCAGTATTTCTCTTAACTTACAGAAGGATATAGATGATCCAGCCTCTCAAGGAATTGCTTGGGAACAAATCGAAAAGGAAAAGAGAATTTTTTCCTAGTTTTGTATAGGATTGGAGGGATCCAGGCCTAGGACTGGCTTCAGAGAAGGACTGGGAGCCTGCCTCAAGTCAGGACCGGGTATGGAGGTATGCTGGGGTAGTCATGTTAGCAGTGGAGCAGAAAAGCAAATGCCACCCTTCTTGCCCGCTACCCTGCAACTGACCCCATGAGCCTCCCCAGTAGGGACGCTCCACCAGCAGAAGACAGTTCATGCTGTTCAAAGAGGTGGTATAACTGTGTTGGAAAAAACCCCACCTTTCACGGTTCGTTGCATCTGCTCCAGGAGGTCTGGCAGCGCAACCACACCGGTGTATTGCTACAGCAGCCAAGGGCTTGAGGAACAGGCAGGGCCATGGAGATGCTGCTCTTGGGGCTGAAGGCTGGCCAGCCGTGTGCTAGTCCAAAACTATTTGCAATATGTATTTCCAAATTTGCTAACCCAGCACTGGAAATCATCTATTTCTAGCCTATAGACTGTATATAAAAATTGTTTTCCCACATAAAAAATGCAGTACAAATCCTACAATTTCAGATCTAAATTTTTTGGTTTATATTGCTTGCAGGGACTACACAGTTTGGATTCAGCTAATCAAGAAGAAGTGTTTACAGAGTCCTCTGTGTGTCCTCAGGCTTGAGATGCTACCACAGGAGTAAAAGACAAAACTGGCTTTCTATTTTTAGCAGCCAGCCTCTTCTAGGCTCGCTCCCTCTCATAAAAGCTCCCATCCATAGGCTTGTATGAATCTTCTTCATATAACCTCATGTTTAGCCAGGAAAGCCCGCGATTTCTGAAGCCGGTGTGTTTTCTTCAGAGGCTTCTTGTTCAAGGGCTTGCGTGTACCTGAGCTGTCGCAGCAGCGCATGGGACCCCGGTTTCTGGCCAGGAGGTACCACGGCTGAAATAGGACCCTGACACCACGCTCTTTGAGACATTGCGTGACGCACAGCCCATCCCTTCCGGGAATGACCCTCTGTGTTCCTGGGAAGTTGTACCTAATTAGGCTTTCAGATACCACAGCCACAGAAGTGAGATAGAGAGGTGGATAAATACCTTGCTAAGGCGATTTGAAAGTCTGTGCTGCAGCATGATGATGCAGCGACTTAATGAAGTTGCTGTTGTCACAGGGCCCAGGGACTCAGGCAGTCGCTTCCAATCAATGCTGAGAGGTTAATTACACATTTACCTGAACAGCAGTCTGAAATCCTCACCAAGAAATTAGGAGTGGGGGCGACTCTTGGTTGCTTTGGCACCTACAAGTGTAAGCAGTACCAGAAAAGTGTGTCTATCTAGATGCCCCCCATAGCTGGCTGAACCTTTACAAGCTGTTTGCTGAGATTTTGTGATGGTCTTGTCCCAGAAATTGGTTCTAGTTTGGCATCAAAGCCAGAACTGCACTAGTTTCAGAGCCAAAAGGAAAAAAAAAAGAAAGCTTTTCTCTCACTTGCTCCTGAATCCTGCTCCTTACCTTTTAGCTGAAGTCATCCTGATTCCTTCTGTGGTATTTCTGAGTGAGAGATACACTGAGATGCCCACAGGGCAGGTGGTGGTGAATTCACCCATTTTTAATAAATACATTTTAATTAACTTTTTAAAAAGTCCAGCTCATCCCAATTAGTGGAGGGTGACTGCATTTGTTCTCTCGGAGAGTGGGAGAGAGCGCGCTGTGTTTTCAAGACCATCTGCTCATGAATCCTTAAAAAAAATGGGAGAGGAAAACAAGTGTTAGCCGGAGGCAGAAAAAGGGTGAGGGCATTCTGGCAGCCAGCTGGGGAGGCCTTGCCAGCCGGGGGGGCTGGAGGCTGCCAGAGGAGCCGGGGTGGTCCTGACAGTTTTTTGGAGATGGGGAGCTCTAATGAGCTATGGGAGAAGGGACTGTAATTGCCTGAATGAGTGGGAAGAGAGGCAACAATCTGGAGGGGTGAGTTTTGGCAGCCTCACGGGTGGGGGAATTGATATCCCAGTGTAGATGACTTTGGTAGCTGGCCTGAGATTTCAGGAGGGGACGTGCTTTGGGATGCTGTTTGGAAGGGAATTTCTTACCCTGAATACAACGTGGCTCTGTCGTGGGCAGGAGGAAGGGGCTTGGCTTTGAGGATGCCACGGGCACCTGCAGCGAGATCCAGAGTCTGGGGATGCCTGGAGAGGGGTGAACAGGGACAGTGTCTGGAGCAGCTCTTTCCTCATTGCGTGTGAACAGTAGTGACTGTGCTTCCAGTGTCCACACTTATTTCATTTATTTCCCTTCCTCCAGAATTCTCTCCTATCTCCAGTTTCTGGTCTGAAGTCAGATGGGGTGGCTTTGAGAGCTCCAGAAGGGCCAGAATCTTATTTAATTATGGCTTTTCCCCGTCCTGCAAAGAGAAACGTATCCCCTGCCCTGGCTGGGAGCGGCGGTTCACTCGGCCTCGTTCTCTGTGCCCTTTAGGGAGACGATATCTTGGACCGCAGCTCAGAGTTGATCTACACGGGAGAGATGTCCTGGATTTACCAGCCTTATGGACGGAACCAGCAGCGTGTTTTCTTTCTCTTTGATCACCAGATGGTTCTCTGCAAGAAGGTAAGGACGTCCAGGGAGAAAGCAGCACGGCTAAGGACATGCTGCAGACAGGCTTTCCAGTCCAAAGTGGTTTTTAGGGCAAGGTGGCCGTTTGCTACACGTGCAGAAGAGGACATGGATAGCACTGAGGAAGGGCAATCCACATGCTAGAAATACTGAATTACAGGATGGTGAGTATACCGTGGTAGAGGGATTTTTATGCTCATAGCAAATCCAGCCTCCACTTGCTCATTTCATGCCTTTTTCTCATGTGTCCCTTGTTTGGCTCGTTGCCTCGCTTCTACTTTTGGGTTTTGGCTGCAGCATATGATCTGGGATTAGATAGCCCTAGAATTTCTATATGAACTATGAAGCCTGGCACTTGGGCAGACAACTCAATTACTGCATTAAAATGATGATCGCTGCCTCTCAAAGAAATACCGGGCAGCAGCCTGGTCTGTAGCGGGGTATACGTGCTGTCACTTGGTGCAATGCATTTTAAGCCTCATCCTCATGTAGCTGCTGCGCTGGATTTTATAGGGCATATGTCTGCCACGAATCCCATCATGAAAGTAGAGAAAGGTAGTGAAGAACACTGATGCTAATGTGTGGTAGTATTAATAGCAGCAGGTGAACTGTGTTTCGGAGCAACTGTGCTAAGCAGCAGCAGCAGCAGCAGCATAGCTGTATTACTGTAGTCCTGCTAAGGTGATCCCAGCTCATTACCATCACAGCTGTTGGAAGTGAAGTGACAGAGCCCGTAAGTCCTGGGTGCCTCTGTCTTCTGACAGACGGGGATTCATTGACGTTTTCACTGCAGCTATACAGATAACTGTGCAGAGGGAGTCCCCTGGACCGGCTTCAAGTAGGAGCGAGGGCGAGCTGCAGGTGTCTCCGGCCAAACACACCAGGGCTGTGTTCCTGTCACATCTCATGTGCTAAGGAAAGGTTGAGCGAGACCCGCGCCGCGTGGCAGCCCTCCGAGGAGTGCCCTGCCGCCGCAGGAAGCGGCGTGGGTGGGGGCGTGGGTGGCTCCTGACTCACGGCAGCATCACTGCCTGCTGCCGCGGTACGTGGAGCTGCGGCCTGTGCCGTTCAGTGGGTGGCACTTTCTTCTCCTGAGTCATGGTTGACTGAAATTTTGCCTTCTGGAATGTTTGTGCTTATTTTTCCCCTCCTCGTCGCTGTGCCTTTTACTTCTTTCCCGGGTCTGTAACAAAAAAAAAATCACAGAACAACAATAACAAAGTCAGATGTTCAGAGAACTGTCAAAATGAGTCTGGAAGTACGCAGCTGGGTTTAATTTTTAATCTTGACCTCCTACACTTTGATTGTGACCCTGAATTTCCAATTCATAAGGCAGCATCCAGTTTGGCTTGCACTGGGTCTGATCCAGAGAGATATCGAGCGTTCCCTTAACTCCCGGGAAAATCAGAGCTGGGATTTCCGTGGTCATCAGTATGAGCGGAGAGTGTTCGGCAATTCACAGCAGGCTGCTGGGGGCTCGAAAAGTTCTATCAGTATGCAAACAGTGTTAGTGTGACACTGTCCTCTTCCTTATGTATTCAGAAGGCATGTTGCGGGGGTTGAGAAAGGGCGTTGGGGGGGGGGGGGTGGCAATGCTGCACAAGAGAGGCCTTCACAGGAAAACGCCCTGCAGATTTTAGCTGTCTCAGAGACAGCACGGTGGTCTGGGTCTTCCTGGCAGAGAGATTGACTCCATGTCAGGATCTGGCAGGCTCTTCTGCCACTAGGCGGGGTCTTGTGGGACAGTGTCCCCACTGAGCTTTAAGGTGACAGGGCAGAGGGTGGTAACTCATCTGGTGAGCCCAATATCATGGGCACAGGGTTCATACCTTGTTGCAGGTTCTCCTTCTGCATCTCTTTTTGCAGTATCAAACTGCACTTGTTATTCTTCAGAGTGTTGGGGTAGGAGGGGAGACAGGGTTACAGCTGGACTCCCCCATCTTGATGGTTTTTTCCTTGAACATTGTTAAGAAAGATTGCCTGAGTATGGAATTCAGAGGAGTGTTAGCTCACATTTTGGGATCACGCGTCCTATATAAAATAAATCCGAATGATTTATAGCCTGTGTTGTCTTGACCCTTGTGTCAGGCTTTGCTGTTACAGATCCCAACAGGCAACCATCTAGCAGGATAACCTCTGCTTTAGAGCCAGAGCGCTATATCCTGGGGCTTTCTTAGTGAAGCACCATTTATATCAAGGTGTGGGAAGCTGGGGCCAGCCTTCTCTACCCTATGCTTTAAAATTATTCTCTGAGGGAGATGAAATACGACCCACACATCCCCAAGAGCAGGGAGAAGACAGCAGGTCTGCGGGGGTGCTGGTGCTCCAGCTCTGCCTGGCCAGCAGTGGGCAGAGCACCATGTCCTGGGGTCATCTGCAGCACAGTGTGGTGCCAGTCATGGGAATTAAAGTGCTTGAGAGTGGCGTGAGCTTGCAATATGCTTTCATGTCCCACTTGAACAAATCCTCAGGGAATTGGAGTTGTCTGACTCCAGAAGGGAAGGTCTGAGATTTCCAGAAGGTCTCAGACTGGTCCAGGGCTGCCAGCTCCTCCGTCTTGTGTACAGGGAGAATTAAGTCCTTTAGAGGTTTCCAAAGCAGCAGATTGAACAGCACCCCTCTTATTCCAGACACAGGCAATGAGAAAATTTATGGACAACCTGACCTATGGTCTGCGTGAGGTTTGTTTAGTTTGTCAGCCTGATCAAAATTTTCAGCTTTGGTACCACTTACGATGGCACATCTCAGGGAATCTTCCTCTTCAGAAAATCTTCTGCATACGTGGGGTTTCTTTAGATATAATGAATTAGTAGGTATGATACATCCTTAATCATGACACGGTCTATTTGAGAATACAGTTATTTTTGAATTATAATGGTTGAATTTTACCTCTTTATTGGTCAAAAGAGATTTTTAATAGAAATGAGGAACTAAAACCAATTCCTTATGTAAATATATCACAGATACTTTAGTTTGATGAAAGCATGCTAGATATCCTGAGAGGCTCTAGAAGACAAGCATATATTTCAGACAAGATCTCCCACTCCTCCAGATCTTCATTGCAGTTATCTGCATGCCATCCTCACCTTCGTTACCTGTTGTCTCCCTGGTAGATGTTTGCAGCTGCAACAGCTCTGTGCTCTTGAGTCCCCTAGTAATGCATATGGATTCAGTGGTTTGACAGATACTGATACAGAAGTTTCTGACGGAACAGGTACAGTTCGATATCATAAGCTCTGTGATGGTTTTGGATGTTGGTATTCCCTGTCGTTCCCTTTGAACTCCGTTGTCTGCAAAACTTGTTACACAGTGGGCTCACATTGCAAAGACTGCCAGATTCCTGCTCACTAGTTAGTGCAGTGGAAGATGGAATAATTTCTACATGGCAAAACTGGCTGGAATCAGCTCCACCCCGGTAGGCTAAGGTGAGGTGTTAGTGGCATTCACTGATACCAGTAGATGCGTGTTAGGTCCAGGAAGATGCTATATGAATTCCTGCAATATCTGGAAAAGTGCTGGTGAAAGCCAGTTTTTCTTCTGCTGCAAAAATTTCAGCAGCATTTTGCTTCCAGCCAGCAGATGTGCTGGAGATATCAGTCCCAAGAGAGCACACTGCTACATACATGCCCGCAACCCTTGTTTGTGTCTGTATTGGAAGCTGCTGATCCTTTGGGCAGGCTGTATTGCTGCTGCCCAGGCAGAGTATTAAAACATTCTGTCTATAGCCAAGGTAGCGACTCATTTTGTGCCCATTATTTAAGGTGAGCGCTGTGTGCAAAGTAACATGTCCCCCCCACCCCCATCTAAGTTTGGGTTTCTTCATAGCAGTTTTGCTATCAGCTAGTAAACGATGAGGACTGCTCCAGTTCAACTGCTCTGTGTCCTTTGTGTGGCTCTAAAGACAAGGCACAAGCCACAGTCTCAGGAAATGTCTTTTTTTTTCACGTTGGATCACATTTGCTCCATCGGCTATACAGGCAGATGGCCTAGGAAAGTTTCAGCCGGACTCCTATCATATGTTACCAAGAATTACCAAGTTTCTTCTTCCTACTGCTCCGTCCAGTGTTGCCTGTGCCTAAGGAATGAGGTCTGTTGGCTATGGTGGTATTTCTGGTATCCAGCTATCTGCTTTCAGCAGCAGTTAACATACTTCCAAATAAACCCCTGGCTGCTTTGAATATGACCTGCTTTCCAGAAGCTTTGCCATCCCTTTCTCTTGATGTCTGAAAATGTTTCAAGGTTATGGGGCCTTTCTTTGTTCAACATCTGGCCGAGACATTTCTGTGAGGGAGGATAACTCTCGGGGTGATTCTTCTTGAGATTATCACCTAGTTGTTCCCCTGCTTGGTACTCCTGCAGAAGATCATCAGTAATGCCAGGCCAGCCATCTGACAGACAGGAGCTCACTGGTCAACATTCACTGTATTTATTAGTTGTTCCCAAACATTTCAAGCAAGGTTTCAGCATCTGCCTGGCCTTTTGATATCGTGGGTGTCCACAGGTTGGAATCACCCCCTTGTATCCTGAATTGCTCGCTGCTCGTCTCATAGAGGTGAACTGCCGCTCGGCAGATGGGTGGGAGGGACTGAGAGCTGCCGGTGGGAGCAGCTCCTTGAACGTGAACGTCCTGCATCTCCTAGGATTTTTCCAGGGGCTTTTGCAATGTGAGCCAAGCCGAGGGCCTGTCTTTGCAAATGGGCATATGGGCAGCTGGGTGGTTACCTGGTTGATGTTTGCATGCAAAGAACCAGACATTAGTATAGTCATTAATATGACTATATTGGACTATATGACTGTATTAATATGACTATAATGAACTAGTCATTAATATAGTTGAGCTGTCAGGAAAGGAGCGATGGCACTGGTCGGATCCAGCAGCAAAGCTCAGGCCCTTCCCTGGTTGCCAGTGTAAGTTCCACTGCCTCAGACTGAGAAATCCCAAATGCATGTCCATGACCACCACGTCTTGGAGAACTGACGGGACTTCAGACAGA